CAGTCGGCATCATTGCCTCTGTTTTGTGAGGTGGAGGATTTCATGGACTGGTGTTGGGTTAATGGGTTAATGTTGGACTTGTGGGCTTGGGCAGCATTGGGTTGGCATGTTTTCGTGATGCAAACTTTCTTTACATAAAACTCTCTTATACATGAGTTGCTGTGGATTTGTTTCTCCAAAGTACCTAGACTTATACACCATTTTAGGGCTTTGTTGGCCAATTTAAAGGTTTGGGCTAAATAATAGATAATAAATAGAGGAATCTATTGCAGGATTTGCAGAGAGGAGAGATGTGATCTGATTTATGTGTTTTTAACTTGACAAGTGCTGGTTACTATATGGAAAATAAACCCATTACCAGCAGGTATGATCATATTTAATGGCTGTGAAAAGTGGTTGGATTCTGGGTATGTTCATGGATAGAAGTGTTCTGCTAACAGTAGATGAGGTGTAAACAGGGAAGGCATCAAGGATCACTCTAAGGTGTCTCTTCAGCAATTGAAAGAAGCTTATCGTTGCCCTATTGCTCTTAATCTTGTTTTTAATGTTACTGCAAATCTTCATATTTGTGTGTTTTTAAACAACATACCAAATCTCCCAGTGACTTTTCTGGTCCCTCTTTGTTCCCATCGCCACCCAAGTCAACATCTGTCCATCCCCACTCTGTTACTTCCCTTCCCCGCCCACCCCAGTCTGTTCCTTTTGGTAAAAGATAACCTTTTCTTGATTTTTGAAAAAATTGTAATAGTCTCACAATATCTGTCCTTTTGTGATTAATTTCTCTCCATATAATATCCTTCAAATCCGTCCATGTCAGGAAGTGTGTCATAGTTTCATCATTCTAAGGATGTGAAGTGTTCCATTGTGTGGGTATACCAAAGCTTGTCAACCCCTTCTTCCAGAACCATTCTTCATCGATGGGCATTTCGTTGTTTGCATCTTCTTGCTGTTGTGAATCGTACCACAAAGAACTTGGGTGTGCCTTCCCACTGCTTTTGTGATTACACACAGCGAAGCTCTCACCAGATACTAGAGCTCGATAATGTCAGGCATTGTTCTAGGTCTTGACATCCTCTCATTCTTCACATGTTAACCCTGTTTGGGCAAGTGGTATTGTGCCTGTTTTTACAGATGAGAAAACTTAGCCTTTTTTTTTTAAATCATTTTATTAGGGGCTCATACAACTCTTATCACAATCCATACACACATCAATTGTATAAAGCGCTTTTGTGCATTCATTGCCCTCATCATTCGCAAAACATTTCCTCTCCACTTAAGCCCCCAGCATTAGGTCCTCATTTTCCCCCTCCCTCCCGAGAAAACTTAGCCTTTAAGAAGCATAGCAGCTTGGGCCAAACCATACAAAACTGGTAAAACCCACATGTGGCACTACCTATTAAAAAAGCAGAGATAGTTCCTAAGGGCCAGCCTGTGAGACTGGGCTGCCCCAGTGGTTCCAGCTGCAGAATTCCTGTCTTGGTGTGGCGTGATGACCTCACCTATTACAGCAACACAAGCAGTTCCTTAGCCATATGGAAGAGTGACTCACAGGACATCATTCAACTGTGCTCAGGAGCTGATTTTAGCTGAGTCCGGGTATCTCTAAGCATCTTGTTTTTAAATGATGCTCTCTGTGTGATAGTTACCAACATTTATTGGGTACTTAATTGTGTTTTAGACAGTGTCTTGAGTGCTCATTGAATGTAGCAGCAGCAGCTATGACTGAGCCTTACAGATGGAGAAATAGGTTTAGATCATGTACATTGGCAGAGGCCAGGTCTGGCTCCAGTGTCTTATGCTGTTAACCACTTATTCTATCGTTGCACACACCCCCGCCCCCCCCAATTATATTCTCAGTTGAAACCTTTCAAAGTTTAATTTTCACTGGACTTTATATTTAGACTTCTCTTGCCACACCTCTTGTCATGAAGGAGTCAGCTAAAAGCCTCCAATGTCCACGGTGTACTTGTTGCAGGTGCCATGCCTCTGCGGTAGTGCGTCATGTTTGCTGTGTGGCTGCTGCCCCAGTAGGAAGAATTCTACTCTGACCCGCGTCACCTATGCCATCATTCTCCTCCTGGGCACTGTTGTCTCCTGGATCATGCTGACTGAATGGATGGAAACGCATCTGAAGAAAGTAAGTGGGAGAATTCCTTGACTTGACTGGTTGCGTTGTGAATTTTTTTGTATTTTTCCAAATAGTAGATCTAGTTGATGTGCAATATAATTAGTGACTTCTTTGCCATTAGGAGACCCACATCAAATTCAGTGTAATTGTTGGGATCTTGCAGTGCTTGTGGATAATCAGAAAGCAGAGTGTGTAGCTGAGTCCTTTCCAGAAATAAAGGTAGTGAGGGTGCACATCTTGAGATTCTGATCTGGCAATTCACAGAAAGGCTGTAAGAATGCCCTGCACCATTTCTTTCTGATGTGTTGACAATGTAAACAGCACAGCTAGACTAGCCTGGGCCTTTAGAAGGAGGAGGCAGTTAAAGCTGGAGAGTCACGGACCACCTGGCAGTTGGCCTGCTCCGTTCTATGAGTCCAGGTTCTCCTACATTGGGGCAATCTGTGTTGAAATGTGAATGATCCCACAGGATTGAAATGACTCTCTTTAGATTCCTGGATTCTGTGACGGTAGCTTTAAAATCAAGACGACTGATGCCACCCAGGAGGAGAAGGACTGTAGCGTGCTGGTCAGCTACAAAGCTGTGTACCGGGTCAGCTTTGCCCTGGCCATCTTTTTCTTCAGCTTCTTTCTGCTCACGTTCAATGTAAGGACGAGCAAAGACCCTCGAGCGTGGGTGCACAATGGGTATGTAGGGTTCCTTACTAACTTGGTATGTTGGGTATGCCTTCTCTCTCGGGCACTTAGTGTTGCCCTTCTGTGCCTCATTTTTTAATTTAACATCTATCAGATGGCTCAGACACTG